TTTACCTGGTAATGACAGCATTAATCAGCATTGTCTGACCTCGTTTGGCAAAGGGCTTGAATACAGATGTTCATTTATATATAAAAGTCTCACACTCTAGCTTTAACTCATTATAGCACACTCAATAGACTTCCTTCATTCAGTTGAAAAGAACTGACGTCAGCTGTTTTGCAGTGTTTCCTTCAGGGGGAAGTCAGTTCACTTATTTTCAGTCAAAAACCCCAACCTGTCTTTACACTGTAGGACCATTTGATGAAAAAATGTCACCTCAGTATTGCTTTTATTAGGCTGGATGCCACCAGTCAGGCAAAGACAAAATTCCAATGTCTGCAGGGCAGATTCAAAATATGTCATTCATCTTGAAAAGAATGTGTTGTGTGGTGAAATTCACATTGTTTGATGAAAGCTGTCACAAATGTATATTATGTTGTATAAAAAATGATGCGTCAATTTGAAAGTTGAAAATAGCAGAGAGCGCACAATGGCCATGTCTGATTGATTTTTTTTAAATGAGTATTCACAGTGAGGCGGGTGTGGTTGGAGCATCAGCTGTGAATGGGAAGAAAGGAGTGGCTCAGCTGGCCAGGGTGAGCGGCTTCAAGTGACTGACTGAACCTGCACATGGGGTACACCTGACCCAGTAACGCTGTGCTCTCATGCCTGCAGTGGGGCTGGCCTCCCATCATGGCACACACACACACACACACACACACACACACACACACACTGGCTTCAATTAGCACTCCCTCAGACATTATTCAATGACACTTAAGTCCACTCTACAATCCAAGGTCCAGTGGCAGTGGCAACGATCCATTTGCACCATGGCTGACACTAAGAGCTCTGGCTCCAATTCTTGATCCGTGTGTGTGTGTGTGTGTGTGTGTGTGTGTGTTAAGATGAAAATCCAACCTTGGCACAATCATGAGAGCAGTTACTGATGACATATATGTATGCCGGTGTCATTAGCTCACTTTCTAACAGCTGCGCCCGCTGATCCTATCTCTTACCTTTCAATTCCAGCCTTGAGACAACAAAGAGAAAGAGTCTCCATCTTTAACGGATACGCTATTCTTTAACTGCTTTTCAAATTATTGCAAACATCCAAAGGCAAACAGTAACAGAGTAACTAGGCGTGTGGTGAATGGCAACTGTAAATTATCACATCAAAGAACTACAGTATATTTGGACAATCAGCTTTCTCCATAAAGGGCTGTCAACTCTGGAAAACATTACCACCTGAAATCAAGTTACCTCCAGACACAGACTCTTTCACAACAAAGGTTCCTCTAGGAAATTTTGTCTATTGTTAATTGTTTTTGTTTGGCTACTTGTAGGTTGCTGTGCTGTGTTTGTCTCTATTTAGACTGTTCTTGTGTATGATTTTAGCTAATTGGAGGGTGTTATCAATTGTGTTGCTTTTGCTATTGACTCTTTTAATTTCATTACACATGTAAAAGCCCAACTAGGGGCCAGAGTCGAGAATAAGCGATTGCTATAAAACATATAAAAAAATATAGAATGTATAAAACAAAAGAATAGGAATGTGAAAGCTGCTGACAATCGATAATTCACTCTTTGAAAAAACATGCATTTGTTTAGTTTCAAAATCTCTCAGCCTCCATCCAAACAATGCATTTCCTTGATTACATCACAGAGGTTTAAGTGTCTCTGTCTGTGTGTGTATATATATATATATATATACATATATATATATATATATATATACAATAATAATATATAATGCTGGGGAATTTCAAGGGCAAAATGATTTGATTCGAATGATTAACTTGTGGAGTAACAAAAACAGAAATACTTTTCACAAGTTGTATCCTTCAGCACCTTCCTAACAGGATTGGAAGTGAACATTTTAATAATAAGGCGGTGCTGTAGTCTGATAAATTATAAACTTTACCCAAAACAGACATGAGCACAATTAACTATAGATAAGGACAAGTAATTAAGAATGAAAACCACCCAAACATCCAGGTTTTCACTGGTCAAATACATTGTACATTTAGGGAGAGGGGCTGTTGAGAATGAAAGCAGTGTCTAAATGCAGTTCAGACCTCACAGGCGGATAAATGGACAACCATGTTCATCTTAAAAAGTTCTTCATAAAAAACAAAACAAAAATTAAGATGCAAACCAGATCCACATTTGTTTGACCTACAGCATCCTCACACCTCGTCATGCTCATATCCTCGAGAAAGGAGGAGAGAAGAAAGAGGGCTGAATGACAGCTCAACAGATGAGATAGCTACGTTTAATCCCCTTCTAAAAGAGCTTCATTGAAATGACTGGGAGCAGGGAGGACAAGACGAAAGAAAAACTGGAGCATTGTGTATTATATAGCCATCATGGGGCGTCTTTGGTCTTCTCTGTGAAGTGACTTTGACAGCTGTGGGGATTAAGGAGCAGTCCATCGTACATGGCCCAAACAGCAGGGATTAGACTAAATATGCTCACACTTGTCTTGGGCTCCTTCGCTTAGTAAATCAATAAAACATGATTTTACTACAGTAACAAAGCAAGCCAGCGTGTGTGTGGCAGTGGAGGTGAGGTCATGAGGTAGAGCAGAGAGAATAATACCTGCATAAAAGAGGGGAGGTGGGGCGGCGGCTCCGGAGGGAAGGAGGAGCCAGCTGCCAAGTGTTGCTGCTCTCTGCTGCAGTTTGTTGAAATCTCCTTTTTAATGTTGTTCAAGATGCTGCAGCTCCGCTCAGAGCCCCGCACAGGCTTTTTATATTGGATCCATGGGAACGTTATTGCTAAAGGCCGAGAATTCAGCTTGGACAGACTCGGGCAGGCCCTCACACATTCAGTTTGGCAATTAGTGATTTGGGATTTTAAAACAAACATTTTATTCCACAAATAAAACGTGAATGTATTTCCGAGAGAATTCACTAAACTGCTGACGCCAGCTGCCAAAGAGAATCAAAGTGGCTTTCAGCATTCAGGCTTCATGCTAAAATTAACAATGAATCTGGCAATAGAAATCATTTTCAGTATGTGGTTTTAGTCATAATCACAAACTACAGTAGGTAGATATTCTGGCCGTCATTGTTAAGTCAAATTATTAGCAGCATGTTTTGCGTCCCTGTGTATTTGCAGTAAGCTGAAACCTTTCTATTTATAAGACTGAGATGTCAGAACTTATTATTTGAGAGAATGGAAGGTCTGAAAAGAAGTTTCTGTGCGGAGGCGACTTTCAGTTCCCAAGGCAGTTCATGTTTGCAACTGACTGCTAATAAAGTAAAGTTGTACTGTATGCTCTGAGAAGTGAAAATATTAAAACTATGTTCAAAACATGCCACTGGCACATCCGCCACAGCATGACATTGCACCGCGGTCTCGCACAACAAATTACTGTATGACATGTCAATTAAAGGAAATCTTCATTAGCTGCTTCTGATTTTACAGCCACGACCATTCAAAGGAAGGCGCAGCTATCTTTGTTTTATGGGCTGTGGAATTGTAGTTACACTGCAATCATTCCTCGCAGTGATCCACTAATAGCAGCATGTCTAAACAAATCACTGAACCAACAGATTCAAATTACACATGTTTCATAGACTGCTCTACACTTAAATAACCCCTAAACAACTTTGATTATAAAGTTGCAGTTGCAATGTCAAGTGTCCTGTTTTCTTAAGGGGGTGGTGTAGAATTTGCTAAGTGGAACGAAAGCTAAAGAGCAAATAAGTTGAGTTTTCTCCCACCCCAAATCTGTCTCTAATCCATAAAATTACACCTGTCACTAGAAAGTTAGATTTATTAAAACTACTTCCTGATCCGAGAAGGAAAACCATTAAAACACACAAAGGCCTTCAATCAGCAGTTAATTAACAGCAACCTTTTTCCCAGTGCTGGCAATCACTGCTCTATCTGCCAGATTAGTTTAAGGACGTGAATACAGATAGGAAATGACCAAAACAACTTTGAAGCTATGGCAGCTATAGCAGCTATGGCAGCGGAGAAAATAAGTATGCAAATAAAAAAGAGAGTGAGGATGAAGAGAGAGAAGGGGGGTATTCCGTTAGTCTATCAATTTTTCCCTCCCCACAGTGGTCTCAACAGACACATCCCATGGCCTTTATGTCAAGTCAAGTGTGTCATTTCAGTAAAGGGAACATCACTTAGGTAGCCATTCACACTGTATGTGTCAGTGCTTGTGTGTTTCCTGCAAAATGTGAACGATCAGCAGTAGCACTCTCTGAAATGACGGTGATATAAAAGACTGTAAAAACATTTTTGAGAAGATTGGACCATTACTCAATCTAAGTGATCTTGCTACTAACTCAGTGTCAAAAATGTGAGAAAATGAGAGCTTGTAGCAGCCGTAAAATAATTCAAATACTTTTTCCTTGTGTTATAAAGTCTACTTTAAAGTCTATGCGATATAACTAAAATCCAGTAAAGACCAGATAAATATATTAATCAGTGTTCAGTTTTTAAAGCTTCTATAATTAATATTTTTAAATTAACAATGGACACAATGACTATGTGTATTGTGGAAGGCGTCACCAGTATTAATGAACAAACAGGGAATTATCACTTACTGATTTTAGTGTCTTTCAGCTCATTGTTTTGGTTTCATGGCCCGCAAATTGCAGACAAAGTTAGCTAGCAATAGTGAAGTATTTACCTAGTAGCTAAAGCTAGCAGCGACCCTGAATTTCCCTTGGGAGTTGGTAGAGACCAAAACAGAGCCAAAGGGAAAGTGAATATTGGACTTACATTTACCTTGTGTACTCTAAATAATTCTAGTTGCTCTGTGTCTGCTGGAGGTATGAATAGGCAACTGTTTGCTAGTGTGTTGTCAACTTTGTACGGTAATAAGGTATACTGTATGTCAAACACAAACAAACATGTAATGGAATGGAGACACGTTCATATCCTTTAGCACTTTACTAAGGAAAAGTATAAGTTTTATATGTATACGTATAACACGTTGATGTGTTCCTTTAAAGTGAAGTCATTTATCTGCTTACCTTTGCTGATCATAACTGGACTCCTTCCTGCGACAGTGCAGAGTCACCACCCGGTGGCCTTCACTCCTGACATCCTGGCTAACTATCCACTGAGTTGGGTTGCTTGGACGAGCCCCAAGAAACGTCACTCCTTCTTTCAACTTAACCCTGAGGAGAAAGAGAGACATGTCTATGAAGGGATGAGGCGCAACGATTCTCCTCTGTTCCCAAAAAGACCCTCATTTCAGTGAATCGTTGGATGTCTCCAGCTGATCCATGCATAGCAGCTGCGTCCACAAAGACAATGATTTTTTTTTTTTCCCGCCTTCACTCTGTCTCGAAATACATCTTCCAGATGGTTCACCGCACTGTGTTGTCTTCAAAAGATGTCACAGCTGTTATTGTGGTTTTGATCACACTGTTTTCCTTTCCCAAGAGAACAACTGGTTGTTTTAAACATGTGTCTTATCTTATGTCTTCCACCAGTTAATCAGGTAACCAAAACACCTGCTATTTTAATGTGCAATGTGTGTATCCTAATCCGTCTGATAATTGGAAATATGCTAAAATATCATTATATTTGATTCAAACTATGATGTATCAAAATTAGTGAATCAAAAAAGAAAAAAAAAACTTCTCTTTTTATAACCATAAGTTGTGGATGTGTTGTTTGACATTATATGAGGGTATAAGGGGGATGTGACCGCACCATTATGCCTCTCCTGTCCCTCTTTTACCTCCCTAAGTAATACATTCACTCTCCTGCAGTCTGAATAGGACATTATGAAAAGATTTCTTTGACTGCAGGAAAATTACTGCGTCAATGTCCTTAGCTCAGTGCCGACTACAAAGGAGGAAAATGTCCAGAAAAAAAAAGAAAGAAAAAAAAATGGAAATGAAAACCTCCCTTTACGTTAACCCATATTATGAAGCATATCCGTTGTACAGAAGAGTGATCGAAGGGTGCAAGTGCTGACATAAAAAAGACTTAGACAAAGACTTACTCTAATGTTCCATAGTATAACACGCTCAAAGGCACGTGTGATTTGGTGTGAGAGTGACAGCGAACTTGTGGGATTGAAGAGAAGACTAAATTATAGCAGAAGGCCCAATCACTTTCCCTATCCAATCCATACCAGGTTGGCAGATGAGACCAAAGATGGGACTTTGCTTTCATCCTGAATTTGTTGCCGCACTTTAACATGCACTATGCGATTGCCTGTCTGTATGCCGATGAGTGTGTCTGCCCTCTCCAGTCAAGCCTCTTTCTTTGATGTGATGTCTTATAATGTTGTGAAGGGGGTTATATGTGAAGTGAAAATGGGTAATATGACAGATGGTATGCTCTTCCTGTCTCTATGAGAATGAAGATAAACGCACCACATAAGGGTAACTGTGAATGTGTGAGTGCATACATGTGTGTTAGCACTCCATATGTGCATGTGTTTGTGTGAGAGATCATATTTTGTGTTGCAGTGTTTGTAAGATGTTTTGATGTGTTTTTTTTCCAGCTGCTTTCCTCTCCTTTGTGTGTGTGTGTGTGTGTGTGTGTGTGTGTGTGTGTGTGTGTGTGTGTGTGTGTGTGTATATGAACGAAGGCCAGTAGACATTTACAGATTTTGCCAGAACATCACATGTTTAGTCTCAACATCACAATATTTTTTGTCTATTTTTGTCTTTGGAGATGAGATCTGTGTCGGCCTGGGCAACAATAGAGTCATAAATTCTTGCCACCACGGCCATCTTTCAGAGCATGTGTGACGTGAGGTGAACTTTAAGGTGTTGCACCTGACAACACCAACAGATATCGGGTTTATGAATGAAAACAAACCTGGACGCATTCATCATCTCTCAGCAGTGACTTTGTCTTTTTCCAGTCAACAAAGAGAAGGTGAATGTGTGTATGAGCAGCATGCATAAGTGTGCGGGGGTTGATGTTGCACCCATATGAGTGATTTATTTGGTTTCCTGTCCCGACCAGAGGGTGACAGTCGAAAGGCTATAGGTTTACAGAAATAAAAACATCCATCCTCTTACGCTGTCTCGTGTTTACAGTTGTGAACTGAAGATCACTCTGTGCTTGAATGGGTCAACATAATGGAACAAGAAGTTGTCAAACTAGGGAGGAGACGGCAAAACAAATCTGACATGCTTGTCTTTTTATCAGGTTGTCATTCCACATTTTGCAAAGGAAGATGATTAAATAATTGCTGCAGTAAAAAAAAAGAAAAAAAACTTGAACAAGAAGTAGACTACTGAACTAGGATGGTTAGGCTAGGGTAATATAAACACAGAATATGTTAAAAGGGAACATTGGCAATTTTACACATGAGTAATTTTACATGTCATGGGTAGTACTTCTCAGCGTGTGTATAACAGTTGTATAATGTCTCTGTGGGCTCTGGGGGAATGTTGTCAGGTCTGAAAAATAACCGTATTGATGTCATCACATTCATCTCAGTTGAGGCTTGGAGACAAATTTACCACAGACAACCTACATCATAAACTGTGGCCATGGAGGATGAAAGGCATGGGCATTTACAAGGCAAGGGAAGGTCTAATGAAAACATGCTATTGAGTTGTAACGTAGGATGCAGCAGTTTTGCAGCTTGGCCCATTCTAGGGACTAAAAGTCCTAGATCTCTATCGTAGTGGTTCTGACCTTTCCCTTTTAAAAATCTGTCTCTTTTGAGTTCCTTAACGTCATTTAAGTTCAGTACTAAATCACCTTTACCCTGTTGTTCTGTTCCTCAAAATGTTGAGATCCATATTTGAGGTTAGTGAATAAATAAAGGAACTCGAAGGAAACTGGACTTGAAACCTGGCTCCTACTGTTACAGTTTTGTCCCTTAGCGTTGATAATTTTAACCAAAAATCTGAACAAATATAAATACATAAATAAAAAAGTTGTATTGTGCAATGCATTACGGTGAGCCAGTGTTGTTGTTTGTTAGTGTTTTATCATTAATTATTTGTTTTGATATTTTCTATATTACTTTTAAATACTGTTTTTTTTAGCACAGTAAAATACACTGATTTCCTACAGGATCAATTGCTCATAATACAAAGCTGCCACAAAATATGGTATACAGCATTTGCAACCTTAAAAACACACAGTCTACACACAGTTTTGGCTACAAGTCTGTATTTATGTTCGCATCCCTCCTCCTCCTCTTCCTCCTCCTCCTCCTCCTCCTCCTCCTCCTCCAAGAACCTGCTTGCAAAACTTAAACATATTGGAATAGCAGGGAATTGTCTCAACCTGTTTACTACAGGTGGAGGAAAAGTGTTAACACCAAAAAGTAAATTACAACACTTCATCTCAACCTTACCGCAAATCCTGGAAGACACAGAATACCACAAAATAAAAGCTCACAGTGTCAATTCAAGGTTGGAATTTCTTTCTCTCACTAAATAGAAGATCCACTGTTCAAGCCCGAGTGAAGTGCTGAGGAAGAACTTACTGGCAGTGAGCATACAACTGTAACATAAAAAGCTCATGCATCGTCCTCCTTGTGTCCCAAAGGGAGCAGCGGGGTCTTGTATCTGGTTTCTTTACACTTCACTGATCAGGATGTCTATCAGTGGTTTCAAGTGAGGCTTCAGAATGTTTTAAACACAGTCAAGTCTCAGAGGGGAACCAGTCATTACTCCACAGACCATATCCAAGCTCACAGAGCAGTTGTTGGAGAACGGTTGAAGTGTCTTTTATTGACTTAATGGGCAGTTTGGCCTTGTAACCAGCCAGTATAGGAGAATCCTTCAGGGTTAAATAGCAGTCATCCGACTCCAGTGACTATTAGATTCATGCTGTAAGCTGTGCCAGGAAATATAAGCCTTAAAACTGGGCCTGTCTAAAAATACAACCAACTAAGCAATCCTCATATTTACTGTATTAAAACTAATATTCAACAGAGTATATTTATTAAACTCCAAGCATGACGCTTTGAGCTAAATACTACCAACATGTTCACAACGACAATGCTCACATGGTGATGTTTTGCAGGTACAATTTTAGTATCGCTAACGTTTGCAGGTACAGCTGAGGCTGAAGGGAATGTCGTGTTTAAAGTAAAACTTTGACCTGATGATGGTGCTGAATGAAAACTTCATTGTCTGTGGACCATTAATGTTTGCAGAGGATTTGGTGCCACGCCATTGAGTAGATGTTGAGATATTTCACTAGACAAGTGAAAACTTTGACCTCCTGGTCGCGCTGCAAGACCATGCGAAATTCATATTTGTCAAGACGTGTTGGTAAAAATAAATGTTAACCTATTGGTGGTATAGGGGGAAAGTTAGGATTAGGCCTGCATGATCTAAGGAAAATTTGTGATGTATGATATTGCGATGTTGATATGACTTGCGATAAATAAACACATATTGAAGTGTGCATATGCAGGGTTGCTTAGTGAAGCTGAATGAAGAACACAGACAATGGTCACCATCGGTCATCTCCTCCATCCTCCTCCCTCTGCTGCAGGTAACACTGCGGGGGGGGGGGGGGTTAAGTAGTTAGAAGTTATAAGTCTATAAAAAAGTTAGTGGTAAATGAAGCTGCAGTCTACACACAGAAAGTTTTCCTTTTAGCTTGTTCATAACAGTAACACTATTAGCTTAACGTTGGCGCGCTGTGCTCGTGTAAAACAAACCACGGTGGATGGGAGAAGTTGGAAAACGTGGCTTTTCTGCATGTTGAACAGGTGGTGTGATGAAGGACGCTAATTGCTTTTTTTACTCCCAAAGGTTGTGATGACACTCACAGAGCGACGACTGTTGTTTGATTTCTGCTAAAAAGTTCACTCCTCACTGGTCTCCACTGTGTGCTGTTCACTGTGTGTGTGTTTGTGAGAGGCCGCAGTCCCGACACCAAAACACTGTACAGTTTTTTTTCCGGTTCATTTGGCTCAGGCGCTGCACCCAGAAAACCCTGTGTGACTGCATGGCATGTGTACATAAAATATTTTTTTCTAATTCATTGCGTTTCAGTCAGACTTTTGCGATGTTTATTGCGCATGTTCATATGGCGATGACGATTTATCGGTAAGCACTGGTTAGGATGTCACCAAAGTCTGTATCATCTGGGAACGATGAATGACTGTAGAGGATCTGAGATATATTTGGACCAAACAACAATCCATCCAACAAAATGACAATGCCATCACTAG